GAATATGTGTTTATTCTTGTCAATCTGTTATGTTGTTGAATGTTGCAATCACCTAATGACCCCCCTGTAAGGCAACAGAATATAAAATATTATGTCAAAGGAGAAAGCTTTTTGCCTTTGTCCCGCTCTGTACCCCCCTCCCCCCCATCCAAATGGACAATGCATCACTAGGCCTTGATGCCTCAGAAGTCTGGGTTCATTAAAATCTTGAACGAGTGCCAAAGCTGTAGTCATAGATAAAAGGAATATGAAAGGATAACAAAATTTATGGATGGCAAGTCACCACCTCACCCTGGCATTTATAATAAACAAATGGTTTCTGTTTCCAATTTAAATTTCTCATTATACTGTGACTTTTGGAAAATGTGTTTTGATTTACCAACATTTTATCTGAAAAACTGTATAATTGATTAGATTTACATGGCTCTGATTTTAATGCTGATCGCCTGCCTTCCCCCAGTAGCACCCTCCCCTCCCCAAGCCCAACACTCACCCAAAAAAAAAAAATGATCTGAACAGCTCCTGAGGCACATTAACATCATATAAAACAAACCTACATATCAAACAGTTTTTTTCTGATAAAATAATTGGTTTAAACCAGCATAGAATCCAATTCATCCCTTTGAAAGAAACCTCTGCGAGTGCACCAGAAAGAGAAAATGGTGAGATAGACTTCACAGCCCAAGTGAGATGGACATCAATGCGGTGTGCCAGCAATGGCTATATTAACCCATGGCTAAATCCCATCACACAAATGTCAGTGTATCCGTTATGAAACCATGACATTTAGATCCAAGGTCTCCATTGTGGTTTTAGAGGGAGCTGATGTTTGTCCATTCTTTGCATCCATCAAACCCGCACACAGCCTCACAGCCAACTGTACTCTAAGCATAGAAAGGTTAAAGATCATAAAGGTTTACATATCCAGTGTTACTGCAAACTGTTTTTAATACAGCAAGTTTTTGTTTTGTTTTGATGATGTAGGGAAGAAATGATCAAGGTAGTCTGTGCCAAGATCTTCATTATTATTAATGTCACGATTTGGCTAAGAGACAATTTATTGTAATTATATAAAATAAAATATAAATAAGATATATATTATTTTTCTTTTGAAATGATTCATTTTGTTTGCAGCATTACCAGTGATCTGTAAAACATATACTTCAATTATATATTTTTTTTCTGAAAAAGACGCTGCACAAAATTTTGAAACTATAATATTTATTGAGTAAAAAAAATCTGAATATCGGTCAATTTGTTGAAATTCTTCTAATATTTAGCCATATTTGCTACTAATTTAACCTAGATAAAATCTCCTAAAATCACTTCTAGCATTACAACACACCAGGGCTGGCCTGGTCTGACACATCACGACCACTCATGAGTCGTTTGTAATGAGGAGCAAAAACCATATTCAAGATGTGGACAATGTGTCATGAAGCTCTCATGTTACAAGGGAAACACCTATAAGCCACTTGGCTGAGAATCATGAGATGTTTAATTGTTGCCTCCTTACATTAGCTTGAATCTCCCCCCTGAGGCATCAGTTTGGAGGTCAGGTTCTGGAGTGGTGTGTGGAAGAAGGGGGCGATACTGGTGGTGTTGGTGGTGGTGGTGATGATACGGGGGAATAAAATCCCTTTATTATCAGATCTCTCTTACACTCTCTTTCTCTCTCTTCTACCAACGGCAGTCCAGATCAGGAATTACAAATGATATCATGACAATTTTCCATGCTCTTCAAACCAGTGATGTTTTACCGACTCATTTGCTATGATACCTTGTTACGGATCCAGCTGTGAATCAGGGACGTGTCATGGGGCTAGAAGCCCACCTCCCGCTGAGCCTGGCCAATGACCTGGAAGGCAATAGGGGATGCCAGTGCCTGCAGCATGTGCTGCACTGACAAAGCAGCAGGGCACCGTCAAAAACCCTCTCATACAAACTTTGCAGATCACTCCGTTTTTAACAGATGAGTAAGCACTGGTGCTGGCTTTTTTTTCCCCGCACTAACACAAGGTTTATGGATTTCCCTTCACAAGTGTGTGGCTCTGGTTGACACTGAGCAAAACCCTTGCCCAGAAGGGAAATAGTGTAGTGGTGGATCTTGCATAGAGGGGTGCAGATAGCATGTGGCAGGGTCACTGCGCAGGTTAAGCAACAATTCATTTGAGTGCCCATAAAGGAAGTGGAGTGTGGTTGGAAACGACCAGCACACCAGTTAAAGAGGCCATGCAATTCAGATTAAACTTTGGCCTTTTAACTGAAATCATTAAAAAAAAAACAAAAAAAAACCCCTCAACTCATACACATGATCAAGGGTTTTAAAATCTTTCCTATTTAATCCTCAAAACCAGATCGGTTATTTAACCTTAGAGAGATTTCCTGAAAAGCAATCCCTTGGAATATGGTGTAATCCCAGGAGACAAAGTAGCAACTTAAACCAGTCATTAATTTTTGTATGCATCAACAGGAATTCAATGAGGTTAAGGTTGTTTGGGTTTCCAGATGAGAGCCCTCACGCAATCCTAGGCCCTGATGACTTCTGCATTACAAAAATGATGCTGCCAGGACTGATGGAGCTGAGAGTGTCAGGAGGCATTAGTCTTCACAGCCCAGAGCTGGTGGACAAAACCAGAGTGTGCCCCCTGACCCAATCCACCACCAAGTTACTGACCCAGCAATCATGAGAGGAACAAGGAGAGAGGGAAGGAACAGTAAAGGAAACGATTTAAGCATAAACCAATGTGAGATTAATACACTGAAAAAACTCAGGAACAAGAAAGGGAAAGACATATACTGACCCCCGGACTTTACCACATGCTAGCCAAATCATAGGAAATGGTCTTAAGGGCTTTTTTTCCCGTTCGGTTCACTCTGATTCTGCCTCTTTCACTTCATTTAACTGAATTAATGAGCAGGTTCAGGCAGACTTCAGAATATTAACTTCTTGGGTATTTTGTTGAGGGATTGAGCAATTATGCGAATAATTTCACAATAAGTAAACATGTTTGGGCCTGCTTCAGTTACACTTTCCCACATTCCCACTTAATGACTGGTTTTGACACCTCAGGCCTTAAATATGATAGAAACCACTCAGTTCAGAAAAGAGCTTCAAGGCTCCTAGTATGCTTTCAAGTGGGGAAGAAAGTTAAATAGATACAAATTATTTGGATGGCGAACAAAAAATGAACATCACAGCACTCTTAATTCTTGAAATTTAAGAACTGCTTGTAGGTTTATGAAAGAGTGTTCCAGCGGTACTTGCCTCAGTACACTGACACTGAGCAAACACAGTGGGATGGTGGCCTCGAAACACGACACCAGTTGACTGAGAAACACATACATCAGAGAGGACCTAAAGCTGTGTACACATGGTTCACCTCAGGACAGACCACCTTACAAAGCA